ATAATTTCTATTTCCAATAAATGCTGCTCTTTTGAACTTTCCATTCATCAAGAATTCTGAAGAATTTATCACAGTTGTCACAAAAATATTAAGCAGTACAACTCTTTTCAACTTTGATAATAATAACAAACATTTCCTGAGCAGCAAATCAGTATATTAGAATGATGCTGAATATTAGAACGATTGGAGTAATGATGCAAAAAATTCAGCTTTGCCATCACATGAATAAATTGCACTTTAAAATATATTAAAACAGCGTACGTCACAATAAAAACAATAAATACCGTTTTGTGGCTCTTTAATGTGTGGTGACAGATGTCACGCCTCAGTTCAAGCGGCACATGAACCAATCATCTCTTCCTCTTTACTAGTTATAGCATGAAATAAACATGAATGAACATCAGACGGTATCGTTTCAACCGCAGAAAGATGTCAATACACAATATTTTTCAAGTCCACCGACATTAATCTACTCTCATGTCTGGTTTGTTTGTCAGACAAAATGTCAGATTCAGCATTATGATTAGTCAGATCGCCAGTCAATCAAACTCCCAGTGAAGGGTGAATTAAAATAATGTACAAGTCAGTGTACATTATTTTAATCATTACTGCAATCTAATTATACTGTAAAAAAAATCTGAATAAAATCAGTTCTGAATGTTGTTGTACATTCATAAATGAATAAACACTATTAATAATAATAATAAATAATACCAGTCAATCTTTGGTAACACTGTAGGAACATTCTTAAGACACAGTGCTAGACTAAATTGAAGGGAACAGGGATTAACCCCACAAATTCACTCCCTCATGTGGCACAGTGAATCTCCCTTACACATTTGTGTCTGTTTCATTCAAGATTATTAAATATTAAGATGCTGCGATGTACTGAATCGTGAAGTGTATCATATCATCAAGTAGTTGGCTATACCCAGTCCTAGAATTAAGAATATATGATGTGTAATTTAGGTCTCAGTGTTTTGTATCATGTGTGTGCTAAAGTATGTCACATATAACAGAATACACAGCATATGAACCTTATGAAGTCTGAAATGAAAGTTCACTACCGTGAAGGGCCTTCTGACACAAAAATGAACACATATATTTAAAATGAGTATGCAAATGTCTGCTATCAGACTCAAACACTCCCACATTTTCTTTCATGAGTCTCAGTTTGTGAATATGTATAAGGAAGCTTGATACATCCACCTAACAAACCGGCACACACACACACACACACACTTTGTATGGCAAGAGTGCAAGCTGAAGAACAAAAAGCATAGGTTCACAGAAATCTTTGTTGTGTGTGTTGATAATACACTAAAAATGTGTCATTTAGTGTATGTGTTGTTGACTCACCAGCTGCCACCGCCGAGCACATGACAAAGAACATGCCCACAGCGATTCTCTTTAGAGGGGAGGGCAGCAGGCCTTTGCGTTTGAGGATGGGGTCCACCACTTTATCCTTGAGGGGGATCAACATGAGGATCAGCACGGCATCAAACATGGTCAGCCAAGCTGCCGGGAAGCGGAAGGCATTCTGGGAACAACAGGGGAACATAATGACTCATGTTTACAAAACACTAGAGGATGAACAAACAGGAAGAAAGGTATGTGCAGGTCACTCATAATACTCAGGCGCTTCATTCTTCTCCATTTATCCTCCGTTGAGAAAGTAAGTACAAGTCTAAATGTGAATTCTGGGAGAGCATTTGCGAAAAAGAGAGATAGCAGGAAACTGAATCATTCCAGCAACCTTAGCGCCCTCATGTGGCCAATGCTGGTCAATGGCTGTAAAACTCCAGTAAGAAAGAGGGACAGGTCTCTTAATAGCCCATAAAATCATTAATCACTTCTTAAGTACTTTAATATCACATGGGGATTGAATAGCATGCGTCAGAGCACCTGTTTCATAAATGGCTCATTGCTCCACTCACATGCTGCTGATGTGTGATGGGAAAAAAAAGTACAAAACCTAAAAGAGGACTATTTGGAAATAATGACTGATTTGGGAATTTAGGATTGTTTTGACAAAGAAAAAAGCATTTGCATTAATAAGGAACTATTTTTTTGAGTAGGGTTTGCCTATGCAAAACTTACTGTCACTCAGGTGGTAGCCAAGAGGTTGCTAAGTGGTGTTCAGTTGCTTTAGGCACACTGCTATGTGGTTGCTAAAGGTGTCAACAGGGTATTGTGCCATTTATGTGAAATTCCAATTTAAAGGGAGTGAACATGTTCAGTTTGAAGGGCATAAGGGAATAAGGGAACATCAATACATGACTTCACAGGAAGTGGAGAGGGAAATTACCCAGCAGTCATTGCACATCAACCGAGTATTTAAAGAAGTTTGATTAAAATAAAGGCAGTGAAAGAGAGTTGAATTAGTCCCAGGTGTTGTTTGTATGTGGTTATTTGTGGGTATAAAGTGTGAGAGGCGGAACAGTTACAATGCAACATGCATCATGATTATGGTTAAACAAGATAAATGACACATCTAATATAACTAAATTACGTTTATTTCCATATTAAACATCAGAAGATTATCACTCAGTTAGGCTTTAAAATAAGACATTTATATTCATTAAATTAATAAATCAATCATATTTATATAAATACACATATGCATTCTACACGTTTATTAAATGAACATATTTACATTATTTACCGAAGCATATTATGCCATCACAGCTCAAACTCCTCTAATCTACACAACTGAAGTGTCATCTATGTTTGATGACTTTGTTGGGTGTTCCAAATGAACGCATTTTGTCAAGTGAAGTGAAATTCAACAGATATCCCATGTCCAGGGTGTAGAAAGCAATGAACACTGCATATGGACCTTATTGATCAGAACACAGCTTTCACTGTTGATATGGTGTTCTGGGTGGATGCCAGGGGGTTGCTATGAAGTTGCCAAAGCTTTCTGAGCGTTCTTGCTCACTGGCCCAAGTCAAAAAAGCCCACACCCAAGTTTCTATGATATTCTGGTCTCTAGAAATGAGTTCCTCTTAAAAAAGTATTTTTCTTTCTTGTACATTCGGTCTGATCGCTTACAAAGCCATACAATTTGAGGTATAATTCATTTCCAGGGTGCATATACAGCACGTAGCAGATGCGACACAAATGTGTGGTCAAATCCACCAATGAAGGAATGACCAATTTAAACTGATTATCAGTGTAGTTCACTTTGGCCGCTGCAGGAAACCATCTGTCATCATTTCCTGCACAGACAGGGTTTGATGATCTGAATGAGCAGATTTGGGCAGATCCAGCTTTATGCACGTAGCAAAAGTTAAAAACAGCCCAATCCATTCTTGTTTTGATCTGATTGGTTGTAATGAATTCAAACACCCTGTACAATATTTCGCCATCTGTACGCTTTAATTGATGTTAATCAAATAACGCCTGTGAAATGCAACACCTGAGGACTAGACGGCCGGAGCTCAAAGAGAGGTTTATTATGCATCCATGCCTGCAGGCGTGCATGGGCGTATCACACACACATTTACACCTCCAGTAGAGTATTAGTCGGTTAAGTGAAGCGCGTGTCTCAGTCAGCATGTTTGAATTTAATTCTACAGCTTCAGTCAGTCCCAAATCTACTGGTGCTTTTAACACTTTTAATTCTCCAGCTTACTCCCGCATTACATTTACATTTCTTTGACTAAGCACTGGTAATTTATACATGCCCCTCCGAGCGCTCTGTCTCCCCTTCATCATCGTGCACGTTTAAATACTTTTTTCTCCATTTGAAATTGCCCATTTGCATCATTCTATCATCATATCATTTTCACCCACATTACCACTGGTGTCTGTTTCTCTCTATGGATATCTCCTAATTAAGAGCTCACAGTTTGGCCTTATTAAGACTTCGCACTGGATTCCCTTTAGGCTGTGCGGTCCACCGAGACAAATCTACAGCAGCACATGTTCATTTAGAAGGGGAAACCCTTGTGAGTGTGAGAACAAGCGACAGATGGGGATTTGCACACTTGAGCATGCACTCCAGAGAAACACCATCATACCCAGGACAGAATGTCAAATGATTTCTATTGAATCAGGAACCTGGGGAAGGACCTTTTTGAGTCATCAATATTTTTGGTCCATTTTCCCAGAATATTTCAGAACAAAAATCTATTGCAGCCAAATATCTATGTGTGCTGATTGTTTTTTTTCTTTCTTAAACTGTTTGTGACCTTTAACTGACAGGAAGAACACTGTTTAAGTCATGTACATTACCTGGTGTCATGTTATAAAGCATAATCATTGTAAAATTGTGCATGAAAATACACTTACACGCATATGCTGAAGAAAGATGTGTAATTGCGTTTATAACTGTAATTGCGTTTGCCACAAATTAAGAATTAGTTTGCACAAGTTATTAATTTGTTCCCTCTTTTTAGTTAAACCGTGGCCTTGATTTAACTAAAACATTGTGGGAACAAATATTCTTATATGAATGGCCACAATATCTATTTTTTCTTCTGCATGTCATCATGTGCAGGGCTCAGTATGTTTCTAAGCAAATGTAGTTTCCGATTCACCTGGTGGATGATTAAAACAGCAAGGGAAAAAAACACTGTAAGACTTACAACAAAGACAGGACCAAATCTAAGGGTCACATCCCAGTAAACAATCACCTAGCAACACCTTAGCAACCACCCAGAACACAATATCAACCACATACTGTAAAATCATTCTAAAAGCGATTTTTAGCAGCTTAACATATAACAACATGACATATGTGTGTGTGTGTGTGTGTGTGTGTGTGTGTGAGCAAGTTATGCACAGGCAAGCAGCACTCATATTTTCTGAAAAAACAAGTGGTGTTGTATAGTTACAGAAAAACTTTGTCCAACAAGTTGAAATGTCTTTCACTTCTCTTCTTCAACCACTACACTTATCTTCCTTCTAAATCAGACTGAAAGAGGAATGCTTGTCCTCTGATTGATAATTCAGTGGCAAGAAAAAAGCTTGAAGATGCTGGACTGTTTATTCATTCATCACAGAAAAAGTTGTAGCCTGTCAAGACAAGCTTATTCACCCAATGAGAAGTAATCTTATAAAATTAAACAAGCTTTCACGTCATGTCATATTTTTAAATGTTAGCAGAAAATGACACAACCACTATGAAAGTACTCTGGAAAATTATATTTAAAGAGCATGAGGTGCTTTACAACTGTCTCTTCAATATGACCCTGCAGTCACACTCTCGAGCGATGTGTTATTTAACACAGCCAATAACGTCTTTTTCACTTCCCCATTGTCCTTTCGCACTTCCTCTGTCCTTACCATGTGACTTTTAATCTAATTCTGGAAAACTCCATTTCAGACAGCCATGAAATGGCATGTACACACACAAACGCACAAGTTGCTCATCCAGTTACATTTGTGTCTATGCATTTTCATGGTCATTGAGCAACATGTGACTGCATTGTCATTGCTGATCAGACAGCCTGCGAGTCGTGATTTTGGATTAGTCACTGTGAAACCGTTTTGAGGGGATTTAATTCAAGCCGAAGGTTCTGACACACTTACCTAGTAGAGCGTATACATGTACGCCCACACTCACACAAAAACAAATAAACAGCAAGTTCAGATGAGAAAGCGGGCGCTGGGTGCTAATCTGTGATTAGTGAGGGTCATGGTTTTGAAGTGAATACCCTGGTTTTCAAAGGATTTCTCTAGCTCATGCGTGCCAGAGTCTCCAGAGAGTATCCTAAACAGCCTCTACTCTACAGCCAGACAAACATCACAAGCACCTGGCATCACCACAGGCATCCTGTTTGCTCTCAAATTAACCCTGAGAATAAAAGTCATTTAAACATATCGTTTTTTACACTGTTGCATTTAGTGTTCACTTATAATATTACTCAAGGTTTCTTGAAAAAAAAAAAAAAATCTAAATGAAAGTCTCTTTTTGACCCTTACAGTTAATCAGACTGTTTATGGTTAAGAAAAAAGATAAATGAAAATCCATTTTACAAAGACATGTTTAATTTTTTAGGAACATGTATCATTAATGGAAACAACCGTGACATTGAAACGGTTGCTTCCTAATAGCACAGCAGAATGAGAATTATGGGAAAACTGATGAGGAAAGTGACCAGAGCACAGGCGCATTACCTTGAGCAAGGCACATATAAAGTTCTTCAAGGAAGCACCTGTCTGCTCAAGGGCTTTAAACCCACCCATCCCATAAAGGCTCCAAATGGCACAAACCCTTAATATGTCAAAGACAAAATCTCTGCTTATAACCATTCATCACTTGTATTTGACATGCCAACGACACCGTTCATCACCACCATGCCTCTCCTTCAGTATGAGACACCTTGAGACTTCAAGCTAATAAAACACCTATGCAATTTCCTATTCATCCTCTGTCACAACTACAGTAAATTACTGTAAGTTTAAAAATACATTCCCTGTATATTTCCCTATTTTTTAAGGACCTATAACTGACACAACAGATCTGAAAGGCGTAGTACTTGAGACACCCACTCATAAAAACCTTACCTGGAAATAGACAGTCCAGTACGGAATGAGTGCCAGGAAAACAGGAAGTATTTTAACCAACACTTTCACTTCCTCCACCTTCTCCTCTGAAAACCGCCCACCGTATGTCACCTTAGCACCATCTAATAGAGATGGCTTTGGCCTTGTGGGGGAAACAAAGATTTTAACAAGCATTCATTAAAACATCACTGAAATATCTGAGTACATCTGTGTTTGATAAATAAAGTAGAAAAGATAAAGAAAAGAGCAAGGATTTGACCAACTTAAAAAATAATAACGTCACGTATTTTCATGAAGCGCCTTTTCTTTGATTTAGAGAGAGGGCACGGCACTTGACAGTAACTTATGCCACAGAGACACGATGAATAGCACCGCAACATACGAAACAGACAGACAAGAGAGGTGGATGAAAGAGGAAGATGAGGGATAACATTACAGACTAATAGAGTCTGAATCTGGAGTGGAGGTTCCCATGAATGAACTGAGTAAATTTACAATCTAACACACTAAAACCATTTTACACAGTAGAGACTGTGTAAAGACTAATAGGCACATTTAGTTTTAAGTTTGAAAATACATGTTTATAATATAAAAAAAATTATACTTTCTGAATATGCAACAACTGAAAAATCCATCTTAGTTCAAACAGGGTCAAGGTTAATTTCATATAGACTTTCTTATTCAGTAAAGTAAATGTAGCCCTCACCTGAGCAGACTTGGTTCTTTTGGCCCTTGTCCACAGAGGGCCGAAGCCAGGATCCGGAACATGTCACTGAAGGCACTGCCGTCTGCAGGTTTGGTTATAAATACCGTTCTGCCCAGGGCAAAGATGATGAGGGACACCCCGAGGCAGACGGCAGGGATGATGTAGCCAATAAAGAAGCTAACGTTCTGCTGAATATAAGCAACTCCACCCAGCGAGAAGATAGCACCCAGATTAATGCACCAGTAGAACCAGTTAAAGAAACGCCGCGTTGCCTCCGGACCTCGATCCTTCACCTGTAGAGACATACAATACAAATACACATGTATGAACTTTATGATCATTCATTCATTTTTATTTACTTGTTTTATTAGTTTTAAGTGCATAGGAACAACTGACTGAAAATTCTCCTAATATTAATATTCAAATCACTTTTGAATCCATAATAACCAGTCCTATAACTGGTTCAGTATCGAACAAAAACATAACACATTAACATTCAATACCCACATTCTTCATTTAATTCAAGTACTGATTTGCAATTTACTAAACGCATTTACAAACTTGTGTGAAGTTTCTTCTCAAGTGCATGCACATGCTTTTCTAAAGAGATGTCTGCTCTCAAAAAGCTCAAAAAACATGCAGCTGTAGTCATACAATCAGAGATATAGATCCCCAACAGTTTTGGGAAAAGTGCCAATATATTGTCCCTTGTAAGCCAATATTCAGTTCATTGCCCCACTTCCTCAATGTTTAAATGAAATCTATGCCCCATAATGATACCCAGATGGTACATCCTGCAGTTAATTTCTTTATTGAATCTAAAAAACACATGACGATCATTTGACAAGGCAGCAAGCCGACAGACATCAACACTGGCCTAATCCAAGTAATCCACATTTAAAGACTTGTATTGCAAAATAAGCCTTGGGTTTTTATTTTCTTCCAAAAACTAGTCAAACAATCCAGTTTGACAGTAACTTATGCCACAGAGACACGATGAATAGCACCGCAACATACGAAACAGACAGACAAGAGAGGTGGATGAAAGAGGAAGATGAGGGATAACATTACAGACTAATAGAGTCATCTGAATCTGGAGTGGAGGTTCCCATGAATGAACTGAGTAAATTTACAATCTAACACACTAAAACCATTTTACACAGTAGAGACTGTGTAAAGACTAATAGGCACATTTAGTTTTAAGTTTGAAAATACATGTTTATAATATAAAAAAAATTTATACTTTCTGAATATGCAACAACTGAAAAATCCATCTTAGTTCAAACAGGGTCAAGGTTAATTTCATATAGACTTTCTTATTCAGTAAAGTAAATGTAGCCCTCACCTGAGCAGACTTGGTTCTTTTGGCCCGCGTCCACAGAGGGCCGAAGCCAGGATCCGGAACATGTCACTGAAGGCACTGCCGTCTGCAGGTTTGGTTATAAATACCGTTCTGCCCAGGGCAAAGATGATGAGGGACACCCCGAGGCAGACGGCAGGGATGATGTAGCCAATAAAGAAGCTAACGTTCTGCTGAATATAAGCAACTCCACCCAGCGAGAAGATAGCACCCAGATTAATGCACCAGTAGAACCAGTTAAAGAAACGCCGCGCTGCCTCCGGACCTCGATCCTTCACCTGTAAAGACATACAATACAAATACACATGTATGAACTTTATGATCATTCATTCATTTTTATTTACTTGTTTTAAGTGCATAGGAACAACTGACTGAAAATTCTCCTAATATTAATATTCAAATCACTTTTGAATCCATAATAACCAGTCCTATAACTGGTTCAGTATCGAACAAAAACATAACACATTAACATTCAATACCTACATTCTTCATTTAATTCAAGTACTGATTTGCAATTTACTAAACGCATTTACAAACTTGTGTGAAGTTTCTTCTCAAGTGCATGCACATGCTTTTCTAAAGAGATGTCTGCTCTCAAAAAGCTCAAAAAACATGCAGCTGTAGTCATACAATCAGAGATATAGATCCCCAACAGTTTTGGGAAAAGTGCCAATATATTGTCCCTTGTAAGCCAATATTCAGTTCATTGCCCCACTTCCTCAATGTTTAAATGAAATCTATGCCCCATAATGATACCCAGATGTACATCCTGCAGTTAATTTCTTTATTGAATCTAAAAAACACATGACGATCATTTGACAAGGCAGCAAGTCGACAGACATCAACACTGGCCTAATCCAAGTCATCCACATTTAAAGACTTGTATTGCAAAATAAGCCTTGGGTTTTTATTTTCTTCCAAAAACTAGTCAAACAATCCAGAAGACCAGGTAACCGGGGAAAAAATCTGTCAAGCATATAGATAAACCAACAAAGACAGATGTCAGTTTTACTTCCTAAGTTGTCGGTTTCATTTTGCGTGTTATGTGTAGTTCAAAAGGAGCACTGTTTCGAAGAGTCTTGCTCATCTTCATATGGAGTTTCTAATGAGTCATTTAGCAAATTATTTCCTTATAGTTCACTTATAACAGGGATATTCCCCACTGTACTGGGCTACTGTACAGTTTCATGTCACAGAGAGGTCATATAATCGGGTGAAAGTGGTAAATGAGTGCTAAAGCATGACATAAATGAAAGGATTCTTCTATGTGTTTGCACATTGTAAAAAATGTTTGGTTGTACTTGTTGTGAATCAATCTACATTACATCACTGAATTTCTTCAGCCTTTAATTCTCCTCAACAATACAACATATTAAGCTTGCAGATATCAATGTAGTTCTAACCAAATCTGAAAAACAGACCTTGGTAGTGACCATAGAAGCCACTTCAACAAAAAGCTTAAGACTTTCGATCTTGTGACACAAGTCATTTTGCAGCCCACAAGCCTAAATCAGACTCAAAGTACCTCAGAAATGTGTGGTATGTTCCTTGTCATTTAATAAGTGAAGTGAAAGTGCCCAGAGGTGTGTCTGAATTTAGGGAAGCCTGACAAAATGACTGTTGCCAAGGGAACCACACTAGCACTTTCTGAAACCTTATTTTCAACAAAAAAAACTCACATTATTGGACTTGTTAATTTAAAGCTCCCTTTTTTGACTATCAGATGAGTTGTGTCAGTGGGTTAAGAACAGGCTAAATCATAAAGTCCCAGCAACTGGCCCTCATGCTGAGTATATTTATGCACATACAGAATGCTTGCACTTTTATACATGACAACATTTAGTAAAATTAAACTTGAAAATGTATTTTATTTTATATTGAAAGTGAATGAGGAATAGGACTGTGAAGTGAATGTGAAATGGATCATAAAAGTGGTCCATATGACTTGTGAGCTATATTCTGTCTTATGAACCCTATCTCTCATTGGTGCATTCATGAGAGACACAGCAATGTCTGATTTGTGATCAAATATTTCATTTTACATCACTGCTTCGATCTTTTCACAATAAATTTACTGACGTCATTCACAGTAACAGTTTGAATGTTTACAAATCTTTTAGATCCATTCTCCATTTCAACTCATTGACAATATGTCAGCAGTTTATAGCACCCACTCGCAAGGAAGATTATCAGTAAGATATTAAATAAGTTTTGCAGCACAAAGCTATAATATGCACTCGGAAAGACTTGGAATATGGTGTATGATGACTTTTATGATATAGTACTTTTGCATCCTTTTTGAAGTTTAAAATGACCAGCACAGTACTCAAAACTTCTCCTTTTGTGTTCCTAAAACAAAAAAAGGGTGGAAAACATACCAGATCCCTAAAAACCAAAGAAAAACAAGTCACATTAAACTCTTTAAACTACAAAAGCAGTGACTCATCGTACCTACAGACAGGACCAGCCAGGGTTTACCTAAATCATCCGAAAGAACAAACACCAGCAAGCATGTCAAAGGTCTTAATATTATTTAGAGTTTCATGAAAGCAAGACATAGTAGAAAATATTGCTCTGAGAATCAATCCAAAGTTGTGCCCTCTGAGATTTGAACCTACTCAAAGTTTAGACAACTCTCTAGCTGTAGTGAGTGGTCAGCTGACCAAAATCCTAACCTAGAACAACAACAAAACCACTGTCATTATATTAAAAGCATGTGATACCAAAAAAACACACATGATGCAATAATGAGAATTCAGGAAATAAATCACGACAGAGTCTAATAAAATAATGTTTCATGTATTTCTTAAGCTTACTGACTTATTTGTATATTCTGAACCAGTCATAAGACAATATGAAAGGCGGCTGACATGCTGCCAGCAACTTCTATATTTTACTCAGTAAACAGGTTAACGTGCATAAACAAACATGAGTAAACATACCGTTCTTGAACACTTAGCACTGCTCCACATTTAGCTGTTCAGCCCGCGACGAGTTTATCAATGTCCTCGGAATACATGTTATTAAAAATATTAACTTAAAGTTCCTAAAGGTCTCACGGTATGAAGTTTAGCTGTGGGCTCCGCGGGTAAACAGCCAGTCACAATACTACCGCGTGACACCCGGTTCACTCACAAGCGTCAACGCGACGCTCATCAGATCTGCATGTCATCTGGATGCGCTTGTCCAGTGCCAGAGAGGGGCATCAGGTTAATCGGTTTGTATACAAAGCGTAGAGTTAAACTGGCAAGAAAGCCAAAGGCCGCTACTGATTGGATAAAGAGAGGAAAGAAAGGGTTTATTCTATTGGCTAGTCTTGAAGCCAATCAATTCAAGCTTCCTGAGTGATGCTTTGCCTGTCAGGTACATTTTAAATATGGCTAGGTTATGGTAATTCCACTGACCTATAATAGAGAATATATAGATCAGTGGTTATTCACACCCTTTTTACGATGTTATTTTTTTTTTCCTATTATGTTAAGAACTCATTTATTCAGGTATTCATATTTTCTACTATCCATAATTCAACCATGACACAAAATTTTAGCGTAGAATGAACCATGTGATTTGATAAACTAAACTAATTAACAATAATTAATTAACAAAAGTATACAGCCTAATTATTTTGACTAATACATATACGTGTGTGTGTGTGTATAATACCAATATTTATTATATTAATATACAGTATAAATGCTTGCACACTGTAAAATCAAATAGTTTACCTTATTTAGATTTAATTAGTTATCTTTACTTAGTTATTATACTTACTAGGTTTTATTAAGTTACACCTATTTCAAGGCGAATAAAACAATTTACTTACTGTTTTGAGTGACACTTACTTAAAATATTCAAGTAGCCACAAAGGAACCAATTACATTAATAAAGCAGTGAGAGGCAGCAGTGCACTAATATGTTGCTAATGTGCAACATAAAAACAGAAGAAGAAAAGAAAAAGAGTCTTAATAGACTTTTCACCAATTTCCTCAATGTCTGCACTAGTTATCTTTCACTAGTTGCATTCACTCATTTCCCAAAGTAATCTTGAATGTTGAATTTTCAATTCAACTGAAATATTTGAGAGAACATCACATAAGCTTACTTCATAAATTGATGTTGATTTTCCTAAAATGTTTTTTTTTACTCACCATTATAATGACTAGAGTATCATAATAGACTTTGTCTGTTACTATAATTTCCTTCCTGTTAATGCAGCAATACATCATGAAGTCAAGATTTATTTGATTTCAAGGGAAGAATAATAATACATAGGTTGCATTTAGAAGGTGACACATCTCTTAACTAAATCAAAATTTTCATAAATGCTTTGCAATGCTTTAAATTGGGTTAATCTAATCTTTAATTGTGTGTGATAATACGTGAAAGTCACACACAGACTTAAACATTCAGCACGTGAATCACAACAATGGTAACAATTCAATTTCATTTATTTTCATTAACTGTAACAATAACCATTTTATTTGCTCTTTTTGTTGTGCTACTACTGACACAAGACAGCAAATAAAATTGGCAAATAAAATCAACAACTGTAAAACAAAGCAACTGCATAATTTATTCATACCGCAAGGCACTCTGGGAGTCAGTGAGTAGCTATACTAAGTCAGGAGTAAACCTAAATGAAAGGATCAAGTACCCCCTACAGTTCGTTTTTAGTTACTAGAACTCTCGTGCAAGTAAACTATAACCAAGCACTTGTCAGTACAACATACTATTCCTATTTCACTTTACTTAGTTTTTTCAAGGCAATCGGTTTGCATGCTTTTTTTAAATAAGACCAACTAATTAGATTTTACAGTGCATGAAATTTTATTACATTGTGACACATAATTTTATTTGTATTTAGTAAAACATAAAAATATACATTAAGTAACTTGGTAAATTTATGCCATGTATGATAATATATTCCTTTTAAATATGACATAATACCATGCTGTAAAAACACTGATTATTTGATTGTGTGACTAAAAAAGTATTGTTGAATGGATATACATTTCCAGTCACTTATGACATTTAATTTGCAAGTGTACTCAAAACTTTCATCTTACTGTACTGAACTAAACTAATATTTTGTGTGCTGTTTTCACAATATGTTTATGCAGAACAATATTAGACATTCCCTGTTGACTGAGGCTATAGATTATGCTGGATTGGGTAATAATAGTGGATATCTTGGATGGCTTGAGGATTAGTAAATTAACAGCAAATTTTCATTTTTGAGTGAACTACTTTAAATTAGATTCATAATGAATTTATGTATTAACCATTTATAATAAATGTTTCGTTTATATTCACACTTTTGTGGATTTTTGTTTAAACATATACTGTATATATATATATATATATATATATATATATATATATTGTGCATACTTCTCTTAGAAAAAAATTTGTTGACATCTCTATATTATTTTTTCACATTCTGAAAAAATTCTGTATTCTGAAAAAAATATTGAATAGGGATGCACGATATTATCGGACTGATATCGGAATCGGCCGATAATGGCTTTAAATGTAAATATCGGCATTGGCCCGATATGAAAATTTATGCCGATATGTCTTGCCGATAAGAAGAATACTTTAACTCACATGTGCTCAGGGTGTGCTAGTGATTAGATCACGTCAACAGTGTGGCTCATTCTTGAAGCAAAGTTTTGTCTAAATGATGATTAGATTGACTCTTTTGGATCGCTGTAAACCATAATAGCACATGCAGCTGCAGCAGTGACAGCCTCCCCCAGGTCCTAACGCCTGTTCGGTAAGGAGTTTTAATCTGTAGGTGGCGCTGTTGGACTACTTCTAATTAAATTAAAAGTAAACTAGAGTGGTGGAACTATGATGCCACATTGTAGGCAAAAGCCCAGAAGCGAGTTAGCATTTTAGCACTTCAGGTTCCATCGTCCCAGAGTCAATGGGTTTTTTTAATGGGATTTTGGTTAAATCCCTTAAAATAAGGTCCGTGGTTCACACAAGCTCAAGATACTTTAGCGTTTTATTCTACGACATAAAACACACCAGTTACACCGGTGTATGATAGAGTAAACAGTAATAGCACGTGCAGCGGCAGCAATGGCAGCCTCTGTTAATGATTAGATTAATTGCTTTGGATCCCTGCATTTAAACTCAGAAAGCATGTACAGAATGATGCATTCGGTGTATGATAGAGTAAACAGTAATAGCACGTGCAGCGGCAGCAATGGCAGCCTCTGTTAATGATTAGATTAATTGCTTTGGATCCCTGCATTTAAACTCAGAAAGCATGTACAGAATGATGCATTAGGTGTATATAGAGTAAACAGTAATAGCACGTGCAGCGGCAGCAATGGCAGCATCCCCCGGGTCCTAATGCCCGTTCTGTAGAGAGTTTTAATTCTGTAGGAGGCGCTGTTGGCCTACTTCTAATTAAATTAAAAGTAAACTACAAATAACATTTAGACTGTGTTTCTGATTAAATAAAGCAGTAATTGATTGTACTGTCAAAAAACCTTCATTATTGTTTATTTAATTCTAACAAATAAGTTCTTGTTAAAAACTAACCAAAATTAAAAATATTTTGATTATAATTTCTGCAAAGGAGAGACTTGGTGTTGTTCCCAAACAAAAGGAAATATATCGGTATCGGCCAAAATGAGTTGAAAAATATCGGCATATTGGATATCGGCAAAATCCAATATCATTCATCATATATTCCAGCATAACAGATTGTCATCAACATTAATTATTCTCATGAATAGTGAACTTTTTAACTAAAAAAATAATTTGATAAAAAGTAAAAAGTGTTTGAGTGTCAGTCATGTAGACTGACAGATCACACGGATCTGCTAGAGCTGCTCGGGTTCATATAGCTGACAGATTTTTAAGGATCAAGAGGTGAATAAAACTTTCACAACTTTAGCCTTCTTTCCTCATTCAGAGACATTAAAATGTATGAAATTCATGAACTCAATTTCAAACAGTCTGTACTATAAGGAAGTGCCAGTGGGGTGGGAATCTTTAGACACCTCATGATCCGATCTGATTCCGATTCTGGGAGTCACGATCCTATTCCAGAACGACGAAAATAATCACAAATTGAACAAATTAATTAAAACAGTTGTATGTTAAGAATTTTACGGATCTCTTTTGAAATATAAGAAGTAATGTGGTTTGTCTTGTCCGTTTAATCCCTTAAATCATAACTGGCCGTGTTTACATTATTTCAGGGGCGTAGATTACGCGGGGGATACGGGGGACGTGTCCCCCCCACCCCCACTTTTAATAGCACGTAAATTCGTCCCCCACACTTTTTCGGGCAAGTGTGTTCGCATAGAGGTTTTCAAGAGCCGGTGTGAATAAATATAGATTTAAATTCAAAGAGACAGGTTAGTCTGTGCATGATCTGATGTTTTATTCGGACCCAGAATAAGGCGAGATGAACATCACGGAGCGCTAAACACTCTGTGCAGTGTGTGTTTCATTCATACTCGAAGCCGGAGGGCCTCTCGCGCAGAAAGTCGTATGAGGAAAGTCCTAATATGGACAAAAGTGTCCAGCTATTGCTGTATGAAAACAGTTGTTTTCAGAAAAACAGAAAGGTTTGGGATCATGAAGACTTTAAACATACGATTGCGACAATATTTATTTGTGTTTGTCAAGTCATCTCCAGGTAATAAATAAAGTATATGAACAATGCAGTGCTAACTGACATAGCATTTATTACAGTATTAAAACTATTCTGCCTTATTTTGTGATAAAAAAGTGTTTGTATTATATAAACAAATCATTATTACTGGTTATTGTCCAGCAGTTGTCTGATTTCTAAGCCAATTAAAATCTAGAAATTAGAGAAAAATTAAAGTTGACTATAAACCAGTCAAAGTTTTTGAACAGTAAGATTGTTCATGTTTTTAAAGAAGTGTCTTCTGTTCACCAAGCCTGCATTTATTTGATCCAAAGTACAGCAAAACAGTAACATTTAGAAATATTTTTACTAGGCTATTTCAAATAAATGTTTTCTAGTGATTGTAATTTATAGTGATTTCAAAGCTACATTTTTTTACATCATTACTCCAGTCACACGATCCTTCAGAAATCATTCTGATATTCTGATTTGCTGCTCAAAAAACATGAATAATAATAATAATTAAAAAAGGTTTCTTGAGCAGCAAATCAGCATATTAGACTGATTTCTGAAGGATCATGTGCCACTGAAGACTGGAGTAATTATGCTGAAAATACAGCTTTGATCACAGCAGTCATTTTTAAATATATTCAAATTGAAAGCAGTTATTTTAAATAGTAAAAATATTTCACAACATTACTGCTTTTGCTGTACATTGGATCAAATAAATGCAGGCTTG